GCATGTCAGTATCTCTGGATGTGTTATTGCATGAATCTAGAAGATCCATCCACAAGTGCCTCCTACATTGTAAAAAACAACGCTTCTATTTCTTCCATGCACGCCTTCTGTTAATCTCTCTATCTAGATTCTCTTTCTCTCACCGACAATCTCACTCCAAACTCTCCAGGAAAAAAATATAGGGCACTGTTCTTTTTTTCCTTTCCACCCAGTTCATGGGCTCACTTCCTTCCAATTCTCTCACACCTTGTTTGCTTCTAGGCGGCGTGGAAATCTTGAGGGAGAGGAAATAGAAAGAAAACACAAAAAAAGGTAAGCACATTAAATTTTCAATCCAAAAGTGAAGAGATTTACATAGAAAGCTACACCGTGGATTATGTCTCAATTATGTCAGAATTATTTTACTAATATTCACGAGTTGACTATATTATTAATATTTTATCAATATTTACGTTTTTGTTTAATATTTCATTTAACACTCAACCTTTTTTTTTCACTTTCTTTTTCCACTTTTCTCATTTTGCATCATCTAATCAAAACAAAAAACAAACATGTCTAAATTTAAAAAAAAAAAATCTACTCACAACAAATAGAGCATATTCTATTTAACTTTTCCTGGTCAGGTCCCTGAATTCCTTAATAATAATATTATATAATAATAATAATAAATTTCATGGCTTAATAATTACAAATATACAGGGAAACTTATCCTACATTTTGGGGGGCATGGACAACTATCCGAAATTCCAAACCACCAACGTAGCACTACCTCTTCTTTCACCAATTTACTCTAACAAACAAATTATAAATCCACAAACATAATCTAGGTTCAACTACATCCAACAGAATGAGATTTAATAACTCACCTTCACGATATCACCAGGACCGCAGAGAATATTGGAAACTTTTCCTTTGTAGCGACTCGTAATTTCAATAGTAGCTTTATCACTTTGAACTTCGCAGAGCGGTTGAAAGTCTTCAACATAATCCCCCTACCAATACGAACCAACAGATAATTCAGAAAAGTCAATTCAGGGCATACTCTTTTTTTTTCCTTATTGACACGAATCTCAGTGAAGGTACGAAACAAGTAATGGTGAATTGACTGACCTCCTGGACATACCATTTGAGAAGCTCACATTCTGCAATACCTTCGCCGGTTTGCGCCAACGGCACGTCCACTAGATTGCTGGCGGGAAGGTCTAGGGCGGGTTGAGTGCAGAACAAACACCTGTTCACACGTGGAAAATTGAACTACAAGTGCGAAATTAAAAGCAATGAATCAGTAATTTGTTAGTAAGAAGAGATGAATCGAAATGGAAAGGGAATAGAACTAACAGATATATGTGAAGAAGGAGCATTAGGTTTGACGAAGCGAGAAGGGAGCGTAGGGGAAGAAGATGATGAACAATGAGAAGAAGCGGAGCCTGAAAAGAAGGTTCTGGAAGAGATCAAAGCCCTCTTCTGCCATAGCCGGCTTCTGAGCATGTTGCGTGATTGTGATGAAGAGAAACGAAGAAGAGAAACGAAACGTTTGGAATTGAAAGTGGCAATGGGACAGAGATGGGAAGGGGATTAAAGATTTGTTTGCATTGCATGCTGACAAGTTTCCGATGGCAAAGAATGGGATCGATGATGTGGATGGATAAGGACAAATTAAAATATTAAGATATTGTTTCATATATAGAGCTATCTAACACTAATAAAAAAATAAATAAATTAAGATAAATTAAGCAAAAATATTTAAATGTTAGTTTTAATAAGGATAATTAAAGACATCTTTTGAAATATTTATATTAAATATGTCTCATTAGATATTAAAATATAACTCATTTAATAAGTTATGATAAGTTCGGTACATTTAATATTTGTAATTTTTCTTAACTTTTCTCCATCTAAAGTTTTGAAAAGCTTTATGACCTTTAATGAATTCATATAATTTTATGTCATATTTTTAACTATTTTCAATCAACACGTGGTTTTTCTAAATTATTTCTCGGTATCATTAAGTTAAGTAAACATTGAATTAAAATTTTAAGATGTTGTTTGAGAGATTTATTTAAAAGAAAAAAATGTTTTTTTATCTTATTCTCACTTGAGTTAAAACACATCATCTAGTGAAAACAACTCAATTAAACAATAATTTGTTATTTAAAGAATAAAATAATGGAAACAATAACAAACATCAAATTCTTTATCATGTTTTTCTTAGACCATAAGAAAAAATAAATTAGAAAGTTGTATACCGCAACTCATTTTCAAAACTCACAACAATTCTATTATATATTCTTAATAAGTTCAAAACTCAATTACAACATCAAATGCAGCTCATGTTCAAAAATTTTAAATTGAAAATATATTTCAATTATAAATATTCTACCAAGTTTCAAAAGATAACAACTTGGCAAAAAATTTCGCGCCCGCGAATATTCGAGGATAAAATTCGTGATGGATAATTACTATCTGCGGATATTTATTATCCGTGGATAACAGATAACGGGTATTTTAGTACCCGATTCTAAACAGGTCGGATGTGCGGATTATACTGTCCAACCCGTGGATAACCGTTATCCGAAAAAAATAATAATAAAAATTTAATTAATATTTTTTAAAATTAAATTTTTTCATTACTCTTAAAAAAGGTAAATTTTAATAACAATGACTTAGGATTCCTTTCAATTACCTTTTTTTTAAAAGAAAAAAAGAAAAAAAGGGGTTACATTACTTTTGACCTAACCCTAATAGAGATATCAGACATATGCATAAAATCACATTAGAAAATTCTCTCTTAAGGGAGGACTTTTTTTTCTTCCTTCTGGTTCAGTTTGCGGAGGGAGTAGACTCCATTCTCTCTTCCTCTCTCTCTTGGTTCTGATTGGGGTTTTGTTCCGATTTGGGATTTAAAATTAGGGTTTTATTTGTTTTCTGATGTTGGGGGTTTCTTTTGTACGTTTTGATTCGCATTTTGGGAGTTTGTTTCTTGACTTCTTCCCGGTTTATTGGTGACGCGATTTTGGGGTTATGATTCGAATGAGTGTTTTGAGTTTTTTTAGATTTTAATTCATTGATGCAGATTGGATTTTTGAAAAGCTTAGTGGTTATCATGGTTTGGAGAAATCTGTGATTGCATTCGTTTTTGGAATTTGGGTTTAGGGTTTCGGTTTGTGTTCTCTTGAAAATTCTTTATCTCCATTTCATATATTAATATGTATTTGTGGGTTAATTTTGTGACTAAATCGAGAGTTCCTGGGTGTTTCTTCCTCGTATTTTTTTTTTCTCAAAAGTTATTCAGTATTTGTTTTCCTTAACTTGTTTAAAAATTACATTATGTTTTTTTAATATGTAGCAAATATATTAAATTGTTCTCTTTAACTTGTAATTTAATTTAAACCTTATTTAAAAATTCACAAAATATATTTTTTAAATATTTGTGGGTTGAAAACGGGTATCCGTGGGTTGAAAAAAATCTGTGAATTTTTTTATGTGGATATCCAGCGAGTAGCGAATGAGGTTGCGAGTACAATTTTTTGCATGCGGAACAGGTTGCGAATAAACACTATTCATACCCGACTCGACCCGTTGTCATCCCTAATAAGAAACCTCCAAAGTAATTTACAGAATTGTTATCAAAGTCTTTACTTCACATATCTTTGAATTTAATCATCTTATTTTAAATTTAACTCAACTATAAACAAATTCTTATTTCCATTTTCCTTTCATTTCTTTAACATTGATTAGAAAGCTTGTTTTAGTAAGTTTAGTAGTTCCATATTTGCTAAATTTGCCAAAGGTCGAGACTAAAACAATTTAATCATACTTGAGATTAAAACAAATATTATATTATTTTAAACATTTGACAAAATCTATAATTGTACACTTCAAATATAAAAAAAAACTTCGAAAACTGATCAGAAATTGTAATTGTACACGTCAAATGTAAACAAAAAATCAATAAATAAATAAAACCTATAATGGTTTGAGTTATAAGTTAGCATAATATTTAAAAATTATATATGAAAAATCATGCGTTAATAACAATAGTTATAATATAACTAAAATAATTTATATAAATTCTGATAATAACATTACCAATGTTAGTTTCACTAAATTTAACAGACAAATATTTTAATTATAAATCTAAGCGCATAAAATTGTATAAAAACTATACATAGTAGGTTTATATGGTTAGGGTTTATAAGCTTTGACTCCATTTATTTCTATTAAAAAGGTTTTTTATACCATCCGTTGATAACTCTTTTTTAAATATATTTTAGTCATTAAAAAAGTAAATTTTATAGTTTATATTTATAAAGAAAGTGAGAAAATGACAAATTAGAATAATTGATGTAAATCGTATGTAAAATTTATTGAGTATTAAAAATAATAGTATCATTTCTATTATATCAACCATGCAGTCTTAAACTAAGCAGAATACATGTATATTTGTTGTATTACTTTTTCACCAAAACTTAATGTAATTAGAGATTTGAAAATTAACGGTGGAGAAACAGTTTTATATTTAAATCAAACGATGAAATAAAATAGATTATATTGACTATAATAAAATAAATTTATAATATATAAATAAGTATAAATTTTATTTTATAAACCTGTCATATAGAATTAATAAAATTAACATAGTATAAGAATCAGGTTTAATTATATTTTAACAGATTGGTGTAATATATTATTAAAAATAAGTTGTATCTTTTGATTAGAAATGAACTCAAAAAAATTTCAATAACAACAAAATGTGAAAGTTAAATAAAAGTAAAATAAATATAAAAAAAAATCTTACATTTTTTATTGAACATTTCACTGAGGGAACATGAAGCTGACGACATAATAAATTACCAACACTTGTTTAGTATGCAAATAATACATATTAAATTTAAAAAACTCACGTATTATTTTTAACTTCAGAATACTATATGCGAGTTAGAAGTTATACAAATAGTGCATAACTTTTTTTGGTAAACATCTAATTCTAATTAAAAATAATATTATTTTTATTTAGTGGACTACGCATATTATCTGACTCAATGAAACCAAATACCGAAGACTGAAAATTCTGAGTATGGTACAGTTAACTCGTATGAATTAATTATATGTAAGACAATTAAACTTAGAAAAAAGATGGGTGGTTGTATAAAAGAAGAGCATAGGATTTTACTCTTTACACCATTGTAATACTTCTTTTAGCTGCCCATATTATCTTGGAATTACTAAAGCGACTTTTTCAAAGTACTTGTATTTTTTTTACTTGTCTGGAATGTATCAGAAACTTTTTGAATTATAAATCTTGAAAACATTAAAAAAATACCGATTCTGAAATAAGTAATTTGAAATGCTGAATCTGTAATTAATTTTGAACTATTTCAAATTCACCATTTTGCAAAATCGCTTAATAAAATTCATCAATACAAAAATAAATTGTAGAAATAGTTGAAATTTCATTCTGAAATATTTTTTCCAATAAACTTCAATTTTACTTTTTTTATAAATATTTCTGGATTATATATATATATATAATCCAGAAATATTTATAAAAAAAGTAAAATTGAAGTTTATTGGAAAAAATATTTCAGAATGAAATTTCAACTATTTCTACAATTTATTTTTGTATTGATGAATTTTATTAAGCGATTTTGCAAAATGGTGAATTTGAAATAGTTCAAAATTAATTACAGATTCAGCATTTCAAATTACTTATTTCAGAATCGGTATTTTTTTAATGTTTTCAAGATTTATAATTCAAAAAGTTTCTGATACATTCCAGACAAGTAAAAAAAATACAAGTACTTTGAAAAAGTCGCTTTAGTAATTCCAAGATAATATGGGCAGCTAAAAGAAGTATTACAATGGTGTAAAGAGTAAAATCCTATGCTCTTCTTTTATACAACCACCCATCTTTTTTCTAAGTTTAATTGTCTTACATATAATTAATTCATACGAGTTAACTGTACCATACTCAGAATTTTCAGTCTTCGGTATTTGGTTTCATTGAGTCAGATAATATGCGTAGTCCACTAAATAAAAATAATATTATTTTTAATTAGAATTAGATGTTTACCAAAAAAAGTTATGCACTATTTGTATAACTTCTAACTCGCATATAGTATTCTGAAGTTAAAAATAATACGTGAGTTTTTTAAATTTAATATGTATTATTTGCATACTAAACAAGTGTTGGTAATTTATTATGTCGTCAGCTTCATGTTCCCTCAGTGAAATGTTCAATAAAAAATGTAAGATTTTTTTTTATATTTATTTTACTTTTATTTAACTTTCACATTTTGTTGTTATTGAAATTTTTTTGAGTTCATTTCTAATCAAAAGATACAACTTATTTTTAATAATATATTACACCAATCTGTTAAAATATAATTAAACCTGATTCTTATACTATGTTAATTTTATTAATTCTATATGACAGGTTTATAAAATAAAATTTATACTTATTTATATATTATAAATTTATTTTATTATAGTCAATATAATCTATTTTATTTCATCGTTTGATTTAAATATAAAACTGTTTCTCCACCGTTAATTTTCAAATCTCTAATTACATTAAGTTTTGGTGAAAAAGTAATACAACAA